CTAAATATTAACTACTAAAATAGGCACTATTATAATATAACACCTTGAAATAGATAATATTTATTTAGGACTTGCACACACCATAATTTTAATAAGTCTCTCTGATAAAGCAGGACAGTATCTATCAATGTCAATCGAGAGGCTTTGGTGGATACCCAAGGAAGAAGACATGCTGCATTCAGTTAAGTGTACTGTTTGTCAAGCATACCATGTCTATGGGGAGCTACAACCCTGTCATGTACCTTGTGGGGACTAAGCTGAGGAGGCTTCTCTTGCACCTCCCATCCAACACCCCTGGAAGTGGTGACAGGGAATGTAAGGAAGCAGAGTGGCAGGAGTGCCGGTGTAACAAACAGCATTGGATCTGTTTGATTGCTGGTGTGAGTGGACCAGACAACTGTAGACCATGGGGCAGGAACCAGGTGCATAAACACTGAGGTACCAGAGCAAATTACAGGTACTTGAGGTTGGTAACAGCAGAGAAGAGAGGAACCAAGTCAGAATGCAGGAACAGTATCAAGCATACAAGCTGAAGTCGGTAACAGCCAGGCCGTGAGCTAGCAAATCAGGAAGCAGGAACAAACGGCAGTAAGCAAAGCCCAACTGACAGGTCAATTGCGGGGAGAGGGGAATCCAGCCCCTCCCCCTGTCACGGCAGAGAGCCGTGACAGGATCGAGAGGTGAGCGAACCTGGTATGTGTTCGCTCACCTCCCGATCTACTGAGCCGACCTGTGACAGTCTCATTGTCACAGGTCGGCTTAGAACTATGAGGTAAGTGGAAATCACTCATCTCATAGTTCTCCTTTAATGAAATCCTAAAGTTTTTAAAAAAAAGTGCACTTATCTTTTTTGCCCCCCACCTTTGGCCTAAACTATACTTAACGAGGTCCAATGAGCACAGTCGTGCTATTGTTTACATCCACCAGTGCAATGCTACCTATGCTGGCCACACCGGCACATTACAGCCCTATTGACTTCTATGGGGCCGTATACCAGGTGGGAGACAGACATGGCCAGAAGAGGGAGACTTGCAGCACTGGATGTCAAGAAACAGCAGAGCAGTGGTCCTCTGTAAGTATAGGACTGCGGAGGGTGAGGGTGGGAACTTTTAGATCAGGAGAGGGGGCGAAAGAATAAGTGCACTTCGAATAAAAGTACACTTATTCTTTAACCCCTTCGTGACGGGAGACATACACTGTACGTCCAGCCACAAAGGGACCAAATGACTTGTCACGTACACTGTACGTGACGAGTTATTTGCTGCTTTAGAGGGCTGTTAATCGCTGAGAATCAGCTTTTAACATTCATTAATGTATGCCCTTACTACAGAGGCATTCATTAATGAAAGGGTTAACCTTTTTCAGACACCCGATACCTTAATATCGGGTGTCTGAGAGTCAAAGCAAAGCGGACACAGATGCCGGCTTTTGCCGGCATTCTGACAGCTCGTATAGATCGAGAGATATCTCTCTCAAGCTATACTGGCTTTTTTCTTTTTCTTTCATGAATAGATACAAAATGTGTCTATTCCTACAATGTATCTATTCCTGGAAGAAGAATGTTTGTTTGCTGATCGTTGTTGCAACAATCAGAAAACATTTAGTAACAGCTGAATCCTGAACTGCTGCAGGATCAGTGTCACTAACTTATTATCGGCTGTTCTGAAGTTTGAAGCAGCCTGATAATAACCAAAAATTTATTAATTTATCATGCAGTAACAGTGAGATTAATTCACAAAATCTGCTTGATATAATTAAATAAATAAAATAACATTTTTAAGTTAAAAAAAAAAGTGAAAAGTGTAAAAAAAAAAAAAAATTGTGTAAAAAATAAAATAAAATAAGGGACAAATAAATGAATGTATTTATTGCATTTTTTTAGCTGTGCTGGTTTTGTAAAAAAAATACTACAAATCAAAACTGGGAAAAAAGTGTTTTTTTTAAACGGTTTTTTCCTCTTTTTTTATATTTTATTTGTCCTAAGTGAGGCGTTAGACGCACATATGTGATATAAATATGTAGCCCTATCTGTCCTCTAAAAAACAATATATAATATGTGTGGGTGCACTTTGTAAGAAAGTATATTACTGACGTGGAAGAATCACACAGCAAAAATGTCAAAAGTGTGTCAGTCATTTACGAACAGAAACTAAAAACAAGCTCAGTCATGAAGGGGTTAAAGAATAATTCCAAGTAAAAGCATTCAGTGATCTATTAATGTTCTCCAGGAAACACAGCAACTTTGCTAAATATGAAGTCCTCCTAGAAGATAAAGGCCATCTATGGACTACCCCCCTCAAACATGAGGCAGCATTTCCAAATTACCATGGATTGATGCAACATGATGTGCTGCTCATTTGGAATGTACCTTGATAGCTTGCATGGTGAATTCCTGCATGGTTCATACCTGTCAGCTGGCACAGTACATCGCAATTTAGAATGACCCTGACTACTATAAACCCTGAAGAGTGGTTGTGGTGGTGGTTGTGGGGTGGCTACTAAATATTTGTATACTCTATTGTATAGAAACATTGCTAGTATTTCAATGTTTTACATGCTGAAGCCCACTCCTGAATCCCGAGAGCCAAGGTTTATGGGTCCAGAAGATGTAATTTAGTACCAAAGCTGTATCCTCCCCAGCTGACCCAATGGTGTATATATATATGTATATATGCATACATACAGTATATATAAAAGAAACATTGTCTATTACCCTACAAACTAGCACCAATCTTGTGTGCTATTGTGATACTCATTATAGAACTCCAAAATCTACATGCATAATGCATTATTCAATCAATATTGAATTATAGCAAACTGGATAATGCAGGTTATAACATAAAAGTTCATATAACAGATATTACTGTTTTCTGATTGTAAGAAGATGATACAAATAAATAACACTATTCTATAATACTATATTTATAATCAGTATGAGGGCAATGGCTCTCTCTCTCTCTCTCTCTCCCTCTCCCTTTCCCTCTCTCTAAAACTGAACTATTCATAAGGCAAGCTAAACTCAGCCTTTATTTTCAAAATTGGGAGCTCAGAGTGCACCTTCAATTAGTTATTTATACAAAATGTAGTAACCCATAGCAACCAACAATCGTTTATACATTTGATTGCAATAAACGGAAATCTGCACTTTGCCTTGCCTTATTCAATACGACAGTGATTTTATTGTAAGCAGTGTGACAGAATGGAATTGTCATTATTTGTGAAATTATTAGTTGTTATTATTTGTGAAATACAGTACTGATACAGTGTCCATAGTGTATTGATTGCACAGTCATGACTTAGCTAGATTGACGTTTTGGGTTATGCTTGCCAGCAGTGGCGACTCTAGGAACAATATATAGGGGGGGCACATAAGATACCACAGTCAAAACTGGGGGGGCACTAATAATTATCACCATTAAATCATACCACTGAAAAAAAACTAATAAAGTATATATAAATAAGATTACAAGTATGACAGTAATGCGGTATGCAATGATTATATATATTACATTAAAAAGGTATGGGTATGTAGACTGATTGGTTAGACTCAGGGCCAGGAGTGCGTGAATTAATGTCTGGGCCCCCCACGTGACAGAATGCTAGGGCCTAGTCACAGCTGCAACTATTTGACCCTGTAGTTCTGCCACTGTATAGAGGTGCTCCAAGCTTGCTCCCGTGATGGACTACAATCTCAATACAAACTAGTAGTCCATCACTGGAGCCTTTTTTTTAAATCCGATTAATCAAACTTAATCGTCTAACTAATCGATTTTGAAAAAAATCGTTAGCTGCAGCCCTACATGGGATGCATTTTTCTGCTGCTTTTGCATGCATGGAAACGCAGCATAAAACCTCACGACTTGCTTGCCTGCATTTGGAGTGCCTTTAAACATCAATGGCACAACAAATGTGTTTTGGCGCATTTCCACAGACATAAATGCCGAGCGCACACATTGCCACTCGACCTCAGAATGCGCAGGTGTTCACCAGGCCTGAGGGTACGTTCCAGCCTGATTTTGGCCGGAACGCACTGCATCGCGGCCAGCTCACTTTTTTGTGGGGCAGGAGGGTGTGTGGAGGGCCACTGAAGTGAATGACACCGTACCCGCGCCTATTTTGGTTGCACAGGAACATGCGGCCGATCGCATTGCGGTGCCAGTGCCATTCATATTTCCCCCCCCCCCCCTGTAGCGACGCCACTGGTTGCCAGTGATCTGAATATAGTTAGAACGGAGGAATGGTCAGACTGCTTTTGGCTAATCTGACCATAATGAGCAAAATTGCTTGGCAATCATTGTTATAATGGGCAGCTCTCAGACATGTTATAAGCAAAAAACAAATCTGCATATACCTGGCCACCTTCAAAACCACTTGCAGAAATAAATGACATAATCCAAAGAAATCTAGATGTGCTCTCCATTACCTGATTGACATTACATCAGCATATGTCCGATCAGTTCTAGTTGGACCAATGCTATAATTAGAAGAAACCCAAATTGTAAAGTCTGTTTTACACATCATGCCAGCCAGGGAGAGAGGTCTGGAAAGTACTGTATATTGATGATTCCTGATTGCGAGTGTTGTAATCATCCTTAGTGGAAGCTAGAACATCCCACCTCCTGTATATGTATCCTTGCAGCTCCGCCTTGCTCCAGCATGTACAGTCCTCTGAATGTTGTGACACCATCACTGGTCTCTGAACAGCCAGCTCTGCACATTGCTTGCTTGTCTCTGTCACCTAGCAGAAGATCGCCCGTTGTGTCCTTGTATCCTCCAGAGCTCCTTTCACAAGGACTCACCATCCAAGTACCAGACCCCCTCTATTCGCTCACCCTTCAAGATCCAGAGCCTTCCTCTATTCATCACAGGCGACTCCCCCAAAGAACCAGGTCCCCGGTTCACCTGTCTTACCACCAAAGAGCCAGACTGCCCCGGTGACCCCAGGATCCAGGCAAAATCAGGGGTTCTCTCTCCAGGGTCCAGACCCGCTCATTCAACAGATGGAGAACAAGCGTTGCTTCCCCAATCGCTTCTCTGACTACAAGGGCAGCCTGGTGTCCGGCCAGGGCAAAGATCTAGGGATCCTCAGGACCATAGACAGCATCCTTCAGCAGCTCCCTGCACAGGGCGGTCAGGAGGGAGGACTGTACGGGGGTCTGGCTGGGGTGGCTTATATGCTCTATCATGTCTCTCAATGTCCGGCGTTCAGCTCTCATAGAGAAACATACCTGCGCCGGGCCAGCTCCATCATCGAGTCATGCATGCTCTATTATGACCAGGAGCAGGACCGGCAGACCCGAGCGTCCTTTCTGCTGGGCGGTGCGGGGGTCTATGGGGTGGCGTCAATGATCTACAAGGCAGCCGGCCGAGCGGACTTCATTAAACCTTTGGAGCGCTTCAGAGAGCTGTGTGATATCTGCGAACCGCTGGGCTTCCTGGAGTGTGGGTCAGACGAACTGTTCGTGGGCAGGAGCGGATACCTGTGTGCTGCACTAGTGCTGAAACAGAAGCTGGGCATGGAGGTAAGAGGGTAGAATGTGCCATGCCAGTGGGTACAAACTATGCAGGGGGTATAATCTGGGCATCTCATGCCATGCCAGGAGATATAGACTGGGCAGTGATGCAATGTAAGGGTTTACAAAGTGGGCATCTTATGACAAATGAGAAGGTACCAACTGGGCATCTGAATGCATATGAGGGGGTACAAACTGCACATCTCATTAGAAGCGTCCCCAGGCAGGGTGTCACTCGGTGCAGCCAGCGGGTATCACCCGCTGGCACCTCTTCACATGCGCATGTGTTGTCATTGTAATGACGTCACACACACTTAAATGCCAGCGCCCATGTTGGTGATAGATGCCTGCAAAGAGAGAAGGGGATGTTCGTCCGGCAAGGTAAGGTATGTTGCCAGGTCCCCTCCTCTCTCGTGCAGCTAGTCGGGCTCCCGAGTGCCCAACTTTTCAGAGGGGGTGACACCAAAAAGTCATTTTGGTGTCACCCCCCTGATGGTGTCACCCAGTGCAGGCTGCACCCCCCTTGTGAAGTCACTGTGTCTCATACCATGGGATGGTGTACAAACTGGGCATCTCAAGTTATACAAGGGGATACAAACTGGCATGTCATGCCATGCAAGGTGGTACAAACTTAGCATTTCATGTCATACAAGGAGATGCAAACTGGACTTCTTATGCATTACAGAAAGGGTGAAAGTGGGCATTTTACAATATAGAATGGTTGCGAATATCTTGCTATACAGAGTGGGCAAACTGGGTATCTCATTTTATATAATCAGGTGTAATCTGGGATTTTCATTCTGTACATGAGGGTTCGAAGCGGGTATCTAATGGTATAGAAAGGGACATGAGCTGGTCATCTTATGTTGTAGAAAGGGCTCTGTTATGGTATACAAGGGGTTGAAAACTATTTGTATATACACAATGTCCCTCTCTAGCAACATGGGAACATGCATTATGTTATACCAAAATGAGGACTGAGATTAGCCTCGCGGTTTACTGCAGACATATATGTGAAGGTCAAGGAACATGTCAGCTGAGGGTAAAGTTACTATAATTTGTTCGCCAAACAATGCTACCCCAGAGTAACTAATTTGTTCCTCTGTGACCGTCAAGGTGACTGTTTCCTGTCCCTGGTGTCCTGGAACTTGAATAACTGCATTGGTCTATTTTCAGTTTTCAAAGTCACATAGTGGAGTTTGTGGGCAGACCTTACATCTATTTCTGATCATTTTGTGATTGGTGTGGTTTATTATTTCCACACATCCCCAGACCACCGTCAGATGAGGTTGGATTATCACTGTGGTGTCTGCAATTTGTCTTCATTCTAGATGCTGCGTATGGTGAAGATGGTGTATTCTGATTAATTAAATGAATATTACAGATTGTAACAGATACAGAATACAATTCCAAACAAGTAAACCAGGATTCCCACTAGGATTACTTACAAATCAGTATATTACATGTGTTAAAAATGACAGTAAGAAATATGATACATACGGTAGGAACACATTACACAATATTGACGTCATCACTCAGATCGTAGAGGAGTTTTGTTTTGTAAAAGAACCAAATATAGGGGAAAAATGTACTTTTATATAAAATGATATTCTACCAAGGTACATTTTAGAATGTATCCACAGTTATTAGGAAAATGAATTATATCAGACAACTAGGTACCAAGGGATTTCTTAGCTTCTTAGGCTAAGGTTTGGTGATCCACCAGCAATAGATTTACATCTCGGAAAGCATTAAATATTTATTATGCAAAGAAAACAAAGTGGATCTCCGAGCTGACATTCGAACTGGAACTTTGTAAGTAGAACCCCAGTATGTTCTACTGAATGCTGCATACTACTGAGCTATGTATTAAAGGGTCAAATACTAAAACAAAATATGTATTTCTATATTAAATTTCCATAAATTTGATAACACTCCTAATATCCATATTGATCTAGAAGTTTGTAAACTTGTTGTTGAAGATGCTCATAGGATGTACTTTCTCAATGTACTGACACAATTTCACCTAGCCCTGTAAATATGAACTTCCTTATGTCACCACTTTCACAAAGCTTGCCCTCTGAACTACAACTCAGTGTCTGAACAATGTAACATTATCATTGCTTGCTGGGAGCAATGCATGATGGGATATTCAGATTTTGGAAATGGAGATTGCATCACCTCAAGCAGCAGGGAAAGAGACGCAAAGCACACTGGGAATCAAGGCAGTTGTTGAAATTGATGGGCAGACAGAAGGTAGTACTCACTACATAAAAGGGATTTTTTTCAAGTAAGCTTTGATTGCATTATGAAAAACAACTCTGGTATGTATTCCTATTACTGTGCTGATGTTATAACAGGATAGAGTATGCTGTGGCTTTAGAACTCATTTAAAGAATGCTTTAAAGAAAATAAATATACCCTGAGCCTGTAGATGAACCCATCACATATTCCTGTATGAATTTAGGATGGTCAAGGAAAGGATGGAATTCTTTGGATCACATGGTATTTTTGTATAAGAGAACCCTATTGGACCAGTTTAGGAGGGTGAGGGGAAACAGTCAAATTTCAATGTTGCTAAGGTTCATATACATGGATGTCAGACACAGAAGCAAGTTGGTTGGCGCAAGCATGTTTTTTGTGCCTTGAGGTGTCCTGCAAGCCCATTTAAAATAAATGGGTTACATTAATTCAGCTTGTCTTAAAGGCTACGTTTACCTTACTGACCATGTTTCATTTTACACCCATATTCTGGCCAGATCGTAACCCCCCTAAATTGCTGGGTTCTTTTACCCACAGGCTCGTGTACATTTTAAAATTCAGTGTGGCTGTGCATGGCTGTGCTCACATAGCCACGTCAGCCTTTGACAGGATCTGTAAATAGAGAAACGACAGATCCTATCAGCCAACACTGCAGAGGGGCTTGTAGTTCTCAATACAATTGTAAATAAAATTGAATAAAATTATGGTGACATCACTGCACTTGTAGTTCATTGATACTTCCTCCTGTCCATGTTATTGAATGGGACTGGAGGAAGAGTCTATTGAAGGGACTGCAGGAGCCAGAACCTATAATCCACTGATTGTGATTACTAGCTTTGGTGGCTCCAATGCAAAAAAATAATAAATGCACATTTCCTCTTTTATGAGAGGTATGCATTTGTTTGTTTGTTTATTTATTTATTTATTTATGTATTACTTTTTCTTTTAGACAATGGAATTTCCAATTTTACAAACAAAAATGTGCATAGTGTGAATGGACTCTCACAGTAACCAGCCAGATTCTAGCTGTCATTTCTTAGTGTATGCTGTAAAACCAAAGCAGTATGCTGATTCCTTTCTGTGGGCAACCCCTCCACTGTTTATTGCCTTTGTGGCATATAAGACCAAGTGTCACCATATGAATAGTTAGAATATTTAAAGGGTATGTGTGGTTTCATACAAAACAAACTAGACCCATCCTTCTTGTAAGCAAATGGATCCCTGTAGCTGTTTTCAGTAAACACTCTTCTTTGAACGGCTTGTATGGGGTCAGGACTTAGGGACATCCAGAAAGGCCAGGCATGTATGCAGATGTTGAGTACGGGGCAGGATCTGTGCTAGGATCCTCTGTGGCACACTAGGCTCTGGTTGTGTGCATGTTTTCAGCAACCACAAAGATGACTTCATTTTATGACAAGACAATCCCCAACAAGAAGCTTGTGAGGTTTTTCTATTATTTAACTTAGATTCCTACAAGAAATGCTTTACATATGCATAAATAGAGATTTGAAATGAGAGTATAAAGAAACTGATGGAACGAAATGTGATATTTAGTTATATTTTCACCAGCACATAATTGTAATTGAGAATATGTATCAGCAAAAAAAAGATTCAATAGGAGTTATCTTGGCTGAATACACCACTGGATCTCCTCTGGAAAGCTTTATTCAAACTATTTTTTTGGTGGCGTTAAGACAGAATTTATCAGTCATGAACATCACAAAAGCAGTTCTGCACATGCAAACAATAGGAATGTGTAAAGAAAGATGGGGTGAAATGGGGTTAAGGAAATGTTTACACTTGAGAAGTATAAGGTTAACTGCCTGACACTGATGAATGCATGTGTCAGTAACAAACCTTCACAGTGCAGAATAAGATATAAAAACACAGTCATGTGTTTAAAAAAAAAATATAATGAATTTTATTTTGAAATGCAACTAAGGCAAGTGCCTAAATCTGCCTTGGGCACAGCCTCTTGTAAGCCCCCTGTACAGCGTCACTTAGAATGAAAGTAAGAGGGTCAGTACTCTGAGGCAGTAGGTCTGTGCTGAATCCACATGTGCTGACTGGAAACATGTTGACAGGAGGAAATTACCCCATCAGTCCGTAGCTTCTACCCAAGGGCAGACTGACCATTCAGACACCTGGGCACTGCCAGGTGGGGCATCCCCCCCCCCATAGTTGCTAATCCAACTCAGGTCTGCACAGGGAGCGCTGGAGCCGGATCCTGCTGCTGGGCAAGGAAACTCCCCGCTTCACTCCGGAGTTAAAGAGCAAGGCAGCTGAGGAGAAAGCAGTGAATGGGGTGGCAGG